GCAATTCCTTTATGTCTATTCCATTCTTTATATCCTTATTATTGAAGATTGAAGATGGGCAAATGAATCTCTCCTTAAACTTGTGATGAATTTTGAAGGAAGTTACATAAAAAGATGTACGTAAAATTAGGAAGTTTCAAACACCACATGTGTATTGGGGAAGGAAGGTGAGACAAGGGAAGCAGTTTGGGGAAAACCTAAGAGTGAGAAATTATTAGAGAGAGAACATACTACTGAAGCAGTGGAGCACAGAGGACTGAGGTAAAAATAAAGAGTTCAGACCTAATAAGAAAGGGTTATAGAAAATGTTGGAAGAATTTGGAGAATTATTAGGTAAACTGATTTTTTTTTAATTTATTTATTTTTGGCTGCATTGGGTCTTCTTTGCTGCGCGGGGGCTTTCTCTAGTTGTGGCGAGCGGGGGCTACTTTTTGTTGCGATGCGTGGGCTTCTCTTGTTGCGGAGCACAGGCTATTGGCGTGCAGGCTTCAGTAGTTGTGGCACATGGGCTCAGTAGTTGTGGCTCGCGGGTTCTAGAGCACAGCTCAGTAGTTGTGGCACATGGGCTCAGTTGCTCCGTGGCATGTGGGATCTTCCCGGACCAGGGCTCAAACCTGTGTCCCCTGCATTGACAGGCAGACTCCCAACCACTGTGCCACCAGGGAAGCCCTGATGTATTTTTAATAGTGCCATTTGGAGATGATGAGAGGGAAGAGGGGCTTTGAGCTAGAAGTTTGAGAAAATTGCAGCATTAACATCCCATAGGTATACGTCAGGCTCAGATGTGTGAGTAGTAGAAAGGATTAATTTGAGAAATGCATAAGAAGAAGATTTTGTTACAGCTTAATGTAAGGAGAGAAGAGTGAGTGGGTTCCAGATGACTCTTAGATTTCATACCTGGAAGGAAGGTAAGATGGTGGCACTTTTCATGGTGATCTAGAAGCTGAATGGGTCAAAGGCTTGGTATAAAGCAATTCATTCTTTATTTGTATTAAATACTGTGGTACACCCACTGAAACAAATCCTGTATTTAGTTCTGTGGTCAGTAAGAGGTGCTTTCTTTTAAGAGATAGAATTGGATGCCTAATAAAAACTTGGGTGAATATATGTTGTGTGATAATAAAGAGAAGGACAAACTGACATTTTATCAGGGAGCCTTGGAAAAACATGAGAGAGAGAGAGCAACATTTTTTTTTTTAAATCAGTACCTTCATAGGGTAGAACTTAATGAGATGGGTAAAAATTGATTCTGAGATTAATAAACTTATTATTTCACTCAAAATAATCCAACATCAATGGTAGAAATGCTGTTTTCAGTATATTAAAGAAGGTGCACATTACTTCATTAATCTCTACTTTTTGTAGTTAATTTTGTAGTTGCTGCTAACATGGCATAATCTGGGAATTGTGTGTTATAGTCTATTTTAAATGTAAGTGGTATGCTTTTGTATTCTCTTCCTCAAAATTGAATCATTAGGGTTTTTTTTAGATATGCATTGGGAGAAATCACTTCTTTCTCACACTGTCATTAGGAAGTTCTTTGTGTGCTACTTGAATATTAACTGTTTTAGTGCTACCCCGATTATCAATTAAGTGATAATTGATAGAATCTCTGTTCTTAAGTTTATAAGAACAGAGATAAAATCATATGTAAATGTCCTTTTTGATTCTCTAAAAATGTAGATGTTTGAAATTATAAAATTACTTGAACTTTATTTTAACTAACGTTTTTGGTTGCTAGAGTTGAGAAATATTAATAAAGGATCATTCTTATTGAGCGATAGTTATTCATCTGTTCAGCAATATTTATCTACGTAACCAATTTATGTCAGGCACAGTTCTAGGCCCTGGGAATACGAGGATAAATAAACGTTCATGGAGCTTGTATTTTGTGGAGAAGACAGGAGATGAAATCTTTAATGTGAAGAAGTTATATGTGCTTTTAAAAATATAACAGAGTAAGGGGAGAGAATGTGATTGGATGGGGGCTGTTTAGATAGATTAGAAGGCTGTTCTGAGGGAAGCAGAAACCTGGGTGAAGAAGATCTTGTAAAAACTTATTCCAGGCAGAGAGAATGGTAAATGTGAAAATCATGAGACAGGATCTAGCTCATTGAGAACCAGTTTGGTATGTTGGAGGAAAAACAAGAAAGCTGGTCTGACAAGTGCAAGACAACAAAGTGGAGAATAATAGGAGTTGAGGGTAAAGGGGTAGATAGGGACCAGAGCATATTGGGCCTTATTGCCCATGAATTTTATTTTGAGTGTAATTGGACACCATAGGAGAGTTTTGGGACAGGGTTGTGACACGATCTGATTTACATTTTACAAAATTCATTCCAGCTACTGAGTGGAAAACTGACCATAGGAAAAGTGAGGTCTAAAGCATTGGACCATTTAGGAAGCTTTTGCAATGATCTAGGTCTATGGTTTCCAGTATGCTCATGATCATTGTGGTGCAAGAAGAAACTGTTAGAGCTATATTTATTTCTATTTTTAAAAATTAAGCTCTACTAATTCAGTATACATATTGGTCCTGGCACCCACATTCCATCTGTATGTTAGCTACATGTCACATACCAGTTTTGGCCTGAGCAACTGAGTGAATGTTGAAGTCATTTACTGAGATGAGATTCATGGTGGAGCAGGGTTTGTTTGAGGGTAAGGGTGGGGAAGCAGTAACTCAGTTTGGGCATTTTAAGTTTGAGTTGTCTACTAGAAATATAATATTTATCAGGTAAGTAATTTAGATATATGCGTCTGGAGCCAAGGTTAGAAGCCAGGGTATAGATTAGAGATCTAAATTTGGGAATCATTAGCACAGAGGCAGTGTACAAGAGCTTTGGAGCCAACCTGTGTGAATTCAAATTTCACCTTTGCCACTTACTGTGTAGTGGTGGACAAATGAATTTGTCATCTGTCTATAAAATGGGGTTAGTAATAATATCTACCTCACTTGGTTATTGTGAGGATTAAATGAGTTAACACAAGTAAAGTGTTTAGAATAGTGTCTGGCATATAGTACTTACTAGCTGTTAACTCTTTATCAGTTTATGAGTGGTGTTTAAAACCATGAGGTTAGATGAGATGACCTAGAGAATGAATTTAGATAGAGAAATGGTCCAGTGAAGGAGCTCTGAAGCAATACAACCTTTAGAATTCAGAGACAGGAGAGAGGGCACTGAGAAGGAGTGGGGTAGGAGTCAAACCAGTAGGATGTTGGATCTAGAAGCTTGCCTAATGGAAATATTTCAAGAGAAGTCATCAACTTGGACCAGTTCTGCTTGAGAGTTTGAGTAAGATGAGGACTGAGAATTGACCATTGGATTTGTTAAGATGGAAGTTGTTGGAGACTTTGAGAAATGGGTAGAGTACTGCGTGTGAACACCTGATTGGAGTGGGTTAAGGAGAGAATTGGGGGAAAGAATTGAAGAACATGTATATAGACAACTCATAGGGGTTTTCCTATGAAGAAGAAGAGAGAAAATGGAGTGGTAGCTAGAGGAAGATTTGTGGAGTCAAGGAAAGGTAGGAAATGGGGTGTGTTTGTGTTGATTTTAAGATGGATAGTATAGCAAGTTTGTATAACGAAGAGAGTGACCCAGTGGGTAGAGAAAACTTGATGATATTTGAGTGACATGGGACAATTGTAGCAGCCAAGACCTTGAATAGGTAAAATGAGGTGGGTAAGTGCACAGCCTCCAATTGTGAACTCTCTCCAGGGTTAGTCTTAGAGATAGTTCATCCACTGATAAAAGTAGAGATTAATGGAGGTGCAGATAGACTGGTAGGTTTGGTTATGGGAAAATGAGATAATTTTTTCAGAGTGCTTTACTTTTTCCAGTGAGAGGGTGGCAGGATCATTAGCTGAGAGTCAGAGTGTGTAGGGGTTTGTAAGGTTTGAGAGAGAGGAGGTGGTGTCAGATAGGCATCTTGGAAGGTGGGAGAATGAGTTGACTAAGGAAGTGCAGGTGGAATGTCAAGGAGTTCAGGGGGCCCATCTGACATTTGTGGTTGTTAAAGTGATTCCAGGGCTTCCCTGGTGGCACGGTGGTTGAGAGTCCACCTGCCGATGCAGGGGACACCGGTTCGTGCCCTGGTCCGGGAAGATCCCACATGCCGTGGAGCGTCTAGGCCCTTGAGCCATGGCCGCTGAGCCTGCACGTCCGGAGCCTGTGCTCGGCAATGGGAGAGGCCCCCACGACTAAAAAAAAAAAAAAAAAAAAAAAAAAAAAAATGATTCCAGCTGGCTGAGGAGGGAAATGTGGTCTTGAGGGTGTATACAGTGGAAAAGCGGTAGGGACAGTGCCTCCTCTGTTGTGAACTCTTTAGTCTCATGGCTGAGAGGATTGCTGCTTCTTAGGTCCATGGATGTCGACAGAGGAATTAATAAAAGTGAATAAGCCGAAAAAATCATTTCATTTTTGCCTATGTTCAGTGTCTGTGTCATTCATGATGTTTCATGTAGAGCAGCGGTCCCCAGCCTTTTTGGCACCAGAGACCCGTTTCATGGAAGACAGTTTTTCCACGGGAGGCAGAGGGGAGGCAGGGGGATGGTTCAGGTGGTAATGCGAGCAATGGGGAGAGGCAGATGAAGCTTCACTTGCTCGCCGCTCACCTCCTGCTGTGCGGCCTGGTTTCTAACAGGCTGAGGACTGCTGTCAGTCCACCGCCCAGGGCTTGGGGACCCTGGATGTAGAGGATGAGTTCCTAGAGGTGTTTATGTGCTGTATCTCCTTTAGAGTGCCTACGTTACACAGGTGATAATCAAGATGGCCCTGGAACACTTTCAGTGAATTATATTTGGTTGCTGTGTTATATAAAGAAAGTAAAATCTCTACTGGAGAAGCTCTGTAGTTTTTCCTGATAGATAGAAAACCTCACCAAAGTTTTCCCTAGGACCTGTGGTTTCTGTTAATCTAGAATTATCACTTATGTTGATTTCATACTTTTGAGCTGGATTACAGATGAATTCAAAGTCTGGTTTTCTTTTGTTTCAGGTGCTGGAGAATCTGGTAAAAGCACCATTGTGAAACAGATGAAGTAAGTTGGAACACGGTCTTTTGTAAAACTACATTTACTCATAATGCATAAAAGTCCATAGTGTGTTTTCATTTTAGGTCCATGGTAATGATTTGTGGTTTTCTTCTTTTTAAAGAATCATTCATGAGGATGGCTATTCAGAGGAAGAATGTAAACAATATAAAGTAGTTGTCTACAGCAATACTATACAGTCCATCATTGCAATCATAAGAGCTATGGGACGGCTAAAGATTGACTTTGGGGAAGCTGCCAGAGCAGTAAGTGTATCTCATTTCCTCTTTACTTGCTCTTTTTCAGTAGATGCAGTTAAGCACAATTTGCTTCATGTGTTAGGGAAATAAATTTAGGCAACAAGCTAAGTTGTAGTAAAGTACTGTCTGCTCATTTGAGACATGTTAGCAATCCACTTTAAGAGATATTAGATTACTACCACAAAGGTAAGTCTAGGAAATGGGATTCTGTGGATATACTGTAGGTTTTTGTGGTAACTGTTTTATTCACTTGCTTCTTTTACAGCACTGTTGACTTTTATAGTAGTAAATTGAAATAATCTAAGAGAGGTTGTCATGATATGGAGCTCTGCTTTCTGAGGTGTAGAGATTAAAGGCAAATATCAGTGTCGCAGAATAAACTTGGTAAGGACATGAACACTAAGTCTCAATTTTAGAGGCAAATTTCCAGTATTCAAGAATAACTATATCTCTATACTATGTTGTACTATAGGCTATAGAATTGGATTATACCATGTCCTAGTATAATTCTTGCACATGTCAGATATTCAGAAGTTGTATTGATTGATTATAATACTTAGTGGGCCCTGAAGTTCTAGTTTATAAATTAGGATGTTTGATGCAGTGGGGAGAGAGCCAAAATGAAAGTGGGGGATTTTTTATATCATCATCAGCTAAATTCCAGGAGAAGGCTGGGAATGTATAGAACGCTTTCCTGGAACTAAGAGAGTCATCAGCTGTGTTCAGTGTCATACTTAGGGGCTATGGGCAATAAAAGGAAGTGACTTGGAGAGACTGCCTGGAAAGGCAAAGCCTATATGTCTGTGAAGTAGCTTAGGAACTCTTCTAAGCAACTCTCAGTTTCTCAGATGTAAATTAATATTCAGTAAATAAGTGAGGAAATTCTTGGAGGGAAAAATAATAGAAGGATGGTTCTAATTGGAAGACTAGAGGTGCCATAAAGGAAGGGCAGCTAGAGTAAGGGTTGTAAAATGATTGGCGAGAAGAGGAGCAAAAGAAGAAATGAAGAGGAATGTGCGGGGCATGACTTCTACGTTTTTGTAAAAGGGTTCCATATCACAAAAAATCAGAGACTATGTTTCTAAGCCTCTGATCAGGAAAAATGTGATAGCTAAGGCAAGAATAAACTCTTATTTTTGTCTTATTCCTTCTATCCCCTCTTGCAGCTGCCTTTCTTCTTCCTTTTTCCTCCCTCTTTCTACCAGCTCTTTCTTGTGTTCTTACTTTTTTCCTCCCTTTTCTCATTTCTTCCTATCACCCAACTCTGTTTCTCTGTTGTATTTGCTGTATCCAATAATTGGTTAGTAATACTGTATTTATTCTCTTCCTTCTCTTTGTTGGCTTTTTCTCTATCTCAGTTATTTACTTATTTTCTTAGTTTCCTCCTTTTTGACTTCTCACCCTCTGTCTGACCACCTTTCTGCCTTTTGGCCATCCCTCCTCCTTTCCTTTCTTTCCACTATCAAATTAGTTGTTATTAATTGTTGGGTCCTATCATTCCTTTGTCACCAGATGTAGTTGTCATATTCTGTCTTAGTCTGTTCAGGCTGCTGTAATAAAGTACCACAGATCTGGTAGCTTATAAACAACAGAAATTTATTCCTCACACTTCTGAAGGCTGGAAGCTGAGGTCTGGGTGCCAGCATGGTTTGGTTAGGGCCCTCTTCCAGGTTGCAGACTTCTCACTGTGTCCTCACTTGGCAGGAGGGGAAGGGATCTCTCTGGTGTCTCTTTTATAAGGGCACTAATCCCACTCATGAGAGCACCACCCTAATGACCTAATTATCTCCCAGAGGCCCTATTTCCTAAAGCCGTCACTTGGACATTAGGATTTCAACATAAGAATTTGGGGGGGACACAAACATTCACACCATAGTATCCCTCCTCCTTTCATTTCTCTTTTATCAAATCAGTATCATTAATCTCTGGGTTCTAACACTCCCATGTTACCAGATGCAGTTGACATTATTAATTCCTCTCAGGCCTCCTGAATCACCTAGCCCTCCAGCATTCACTCATCCTAATCTACAACCCTGTTTTTGAAGTTTCTCTTTTCCTTTTTCATATGTAAGGACTTATATTTATAGCTCCTCTCTTATCCTCCTCTAGTTTTTTACAGTTGTCTGGAGAATGAATAGAAAAGCATAAAGCTGGGTGTGGGATAGGTTGCTTTTTCATATCTGCTTAAGGGTGGAGGTATGAAGTTCACTGTAAAGAGGTGCCTCTTTATCGACCTATAAAAGAGGGTTTATTATGGGCAAGCAGGAGTAGGTCTGTAGAAGGGGTTAAGTGGTAAGGGAAAAATGTTTTGTCTTAAAACTTTACAAAGTCAGGTCAGCAAAAATACGTAGCAGTAGCTCTCTGTCTGTTTTAAAGTTTCTAAAATTAGAATCATGGTATTAAAAAAAAAAACAGTACTTATTGAGGTTTTGAATACCTGCATGTGTATAGATCAAATTTCAGAACCAAGGGACTATAAAGTTATTAAATGTTAAATAAAGTACTATTCCATATGTGTAGAAGGACATGCCCACTGTTGAGTACATTGCCAGTTTGTGTAATTTTTCAGCTTTTCTCATTTGTTCCTTTATCAAAAATTTTTATCTCTAAAAAGAGACGAGGGGAATATAGATATTAGATGAAGTTTCTTAGAGACGATTGGGTCTAAAGTATTACTAGGAAGAATACTGGAAAGAATCTCAAAGGAAGAGAATATTACTCAGCAAAATCTATTAAGGCTGAAGATCCTGGGTTCGGCAGAATTAATTGGAGTGCACTATGGTTAGTTTTGGTTTCTTTTGCTTAGGTGGATGCACGAGTTGTGGGAATACACAAGTCTTAGGAATTTTTGTTTGCAATTTCACCTGTGGTCTGAAATGCTTTTTGCGTGCTAGTTTATTGTCCTAATGACTATTTATAATACAATTGATTGCTCCCCTTCCCCCTTTACTTCTTCTTTACCCAGTGTATGTTTTTCTTTAGTAGTTGAATTTTTATGGTTATTTGGAAATCTCCTGAGGCAGATAAATATTAGATTTGAGGTGGGAAAATCATCCCATGAGACCTATGTTTATTTTTATAAACTATCTGACAAGCAGTGCTGGATAGAATAAAGCAAAACAATCACAATTCTCAGCCCTTTCTGTCCTCTTTACCTCTCACATATCTTAGTTTTAAAAACCGTAACAACGGCTTCCCTGGTGGCGCAGTGGTTGAGAGCCCGCCTGCCGATGCAGGGGACACGGGTTCGTGTCCCGGTCCGGGAAGATCCCACATGCCGCGGAGTGGCTGGGCCCATGAGCCATGGCCGCTGAGCCTGCGCGTCCGGAGCCTGTGCTCCACAACGTGAGAGGCCACAGCAGTGAGAGGCCCGCGTACCGCAAAAAAAAAAAAAAAAAACCGTAACCACTTATAAAGCTATGTCTGTGACTCACGAAGTTTTGATCAGATCTCTGTGTTACTTTCTTCTTCTCCTTCTGCCTTTCTTTCTCTCTCATTTAGAGGATTATTATACCTTTGGGGAGCGTAGAGACTGAATTATTCCGTTAGGGGTTTATTTCCCCTACTAGATTTCCAGACTTCTTAAATGCTTCAGTCTCTTCTTCTTCCTGTTCCTCTGTCTGAGATTAAGAAGGAAAAAGAGAACAGTTTCCTTAAATTTGATTAATGTTTTACTCCCTTTGACATGTTTAGACTTTACCTCTTATGTGCTAGTCTTTTCGTTTCTATTTTTATTGTAGGCTTCCTTTTTTTTTTTTTTTTTTTGTGGTACGCAGGCCTCTCACTGTTGTGGCCTCTCCCATTGCGGAGCACAGGCTCTGGATGCGCAGGCCCAGCGGCCATGGCTCATGGGCCCAGCCACAGTTAGAAGTGCAGAGCAGAGTGGAGAGAGAAGGGGGACAGACTTCATTGTAAATTCTCTCAGACTGCACTGCCAGGAAAGGCCTCTTTCATACCTCTTTTAAGTAATATAACGTATAATGTATATCTGTGTGTGTGTGTTAAAGAGACTCTTGTCAATTCTTTGAGAAATGGAGAATCATCTGTCTCTCTCCTTTAACTGCTTTCTTCAGGATGATGCCCGGCAATTATTTGTTTTAGCTGGCAGTGCGGAAGAAGGAGTCATGACTCCAGAATTAGCAGGAGTGATTAAACGGTTATGGCGAGATGGTGGGGTGCAGGCTTGCTTCAGCAGATCCAGGGAATATCAGCTCAATGATTCTGCTTCATAGTAAGTAATTTTTCTCTGTGAAATGAAAACAAAATAACTTGGTGACCCTAGTGAAAGTTCAGTGCCCATTCTTAAGGAAATATTTAAGGAAGAGACACTCTTAGAATTCTGTAGGATCCCTTTATAAAGGTTGTTTCAGTTTAGGGTTATAGAGCCCTTGGTCATTTTATATGATTTGTAGAAAAATATTTCCTCTTGGAGTGTAAATGGGAGACTGCATCATGAAAGTAGCTCCATGGTCATCTATAGTAAACAAGTGAAAGAGGAGAGAAATCTATTGCATCTGAGTTCTGGATCTCTTCCAACTCAGTAGGTTCCCTCTGCATAAGGGCTTTGCATTGATTGCCAGCTAGCAAGGGAAATTAAAATTGTGATATCCCTTTTATGCACAACTCTCTGTGGCTGGGCTGCACTATGGATTTCTCTGGTACTAGTCACCACTTATAAATCTTTTGCCAGATCACAATAGTAGACTTTGTGTAGAAAGAGAATGTTGAGTCTTGGAACGAAGTTGAAGCATCTGTTTGTTAAGGAAATTCTCTAGTGTTACATAGTTTTAAAGAATTTGTATTGATAATTAATACTTCTGTGAAGCTATTACATGTTGTCCTATATTGCTTCTTTTACAGTGTGTTTATTTATAAGACCTATATTCAGAATGTGTGGGGTTTTTTTCTTAACGTGCTTTTGGGGGGCTTGGTAAGTTCTTTTTACTTGTATCCATCTCCGTACTAAATGAAGGCAGTTCTAAGCGTTAAGGTATTTTCTTGAATATTATATTTTCCTGCTTTTCCTATTATTCTAGCTCAAATTATTATAAAAAGATTAAATGATATTTGAAAAACTTAGCTTACTTTTTAAAGGAAGACTTGACTTTAGAAACATTTCAGGATTCTTGCCCATCTCAATAATATTTTTCAGTGGCAGATGTTGGTAGTTTAAATAATTCTCCCAGTAGTCATCAAGCTAGATTGTAATTTCTTTTAACATACATTCAGTAAGCTCTGAATCCTCTAACTACACCTGAAGACACATGATTTATAGAGTTTTTTTTTTCATAATTGTTGATCTGAGGTTGACTGATTCCTTAACGTTAATGATGGTACTTAGTTTTATAGAAGATCATTAAAAATTCACTTATTATGGTATCACCTATTAAAAAAAATCTTTGGGAACCCTGAAATTGTGAAGAATTTAATTTAGCTTTGAAGCAGTTTTTAAATTATTCCACTGAACAGATGAAGTTTCTTGGGCGGTATTAGTTTTTGGCTTAGATTTAAATAAAAAACAAACCTGTAACTTTTCTGTTTCATGAATGAAAACAGGAAATACTCATTCTTATTGAGCTAAGTAGTTCTTGTTAATTTTAGTAATTCAAACAGCATTTTCTAATGTCCTAGCAAATGTTTAAACATACAGATGACCCATTAAATGTCTGAGGGCTTTTGTTTTGGTTAGGTTTTTGTACTGTGCAGTGCACAGTTGATTTAGTATTAAATTTCAGGAATCTTTATTAAGAATAGCATTTCCATGTTTGTTTGTTTTTAATTGGCTTTCACAGTTTAATTTAGGTAGAATTAAAACCACTTTTTTTTTTTTTTTTTTTTTTTTTTCTAATTTTTTTTTTTTTGCGGTACGCGGTCCTCTCACTGCTGTGGCCTCTCCCATTGCGGAGCACAGGCTCTGGACGCGCAGGCCCAGCAGCCATGGTTCACGGGCCCAGCCACTCCACGGCACTTGGGATCTTCCCAGACCAGGGCACGAACCCGTGTCCCCTGCATCAGCAGGCGGACTCTCAACCACCGTGCCACCAGGGAAGCCCAAAACCACTTTTGTGTAGTGTATATAAAACCTACTTTAACTGTCCTATGCTAGGTTCATTTTTTTCTCATTATCTTCTGTGATACTGAAGATCTGATTTGTTCTGCTACTTTAGTGACAGGTTCAGAACCTGCTTTTGGCAAGGAACTAGTTTAGTCTGTTGACTTGCTATGCACATGGTTGGCTTCACTAAGTAAAAATAAATGTGTATTTTACTTACTTAGTTACCTAAATGATTTGGATAGAATATCCCAAACCAACTACATTCCAACTCAGCAAGATGTTTTGCGGACAAGAGTGAAGACCACAGGCATTGTGGAAACACATTTCACTTTCAAAGACCTGTACTTCAAGTAAGTCATTAGCCTTTTTCTAGATATGCCAAACACAAATACCTTTCCTTTAGTTAGTATCTCTTAATCAGGGTAAAATTTCTGTAGGCAATATTCTTTGATTTAGAAACTTATAATTATATTCATCAGCCAGTATTTGACTGTTTAAACTGAATGGGGGCCCAACCGTTTCTTCTTTCTCCAAATAGCATCAAGTATATTTTCCATTTGGAGGAACTTAAATTCAAAATTAAATTGTAACTTACATATCAATAAAAGTAATCATATGGTTACCAATTTATTTTATTTTTAATTTTATTTTCAGCTGCTTTTTTATTGGAATCGCCAAAACATGTGTTGAATGTTTGTTGTTTAGAAGGGTAACAACAATACTAAAAGGATAGAAAGCTAGTGTTTTGGTTTAGTTTATGTGGCTTTGTTCTGGCATTTTGATATTAAAATAGAAATGCTTTTCTCACCAGTGTCAATCCTTTCTTACTGGATCGCACTTCTCTCTCAGTTTGCTGGAATGAAGCTAATACTGTCATGGCCTTTGACCGATTTGTGCACAGTATCATGCACAACTTAGTTCTTAATACAGTACAGAATGGAATATCGATCTAGGGATAGAGGTATTTTGTGGAGGTATGATATAATATAAACAATTATTGTTTTAGAGAGAGAAGATTCTAGTATTCTAATACAGAGGATTTTCTCATCAGCACTAGTAATTCTAGAATACGCTTCAGCTTGTCTCTGTTAATGGTCTTTTGTAAATAATAGAACTGTCTTTTTGGTTCTTGTTTTCTGCTTTTATGACCTTTGAGATTAGGAGTAAACTTTCCCCCTTCAGTCAGTATATGATGTCCTTTTTAGCTACTTCATTATGCTTGTATGTAGAATGTGATATTCAGCATTGTTGCATGCAAACGTAACTTCTAGTTCAGATTCTCTCAATTTTCTTTTCTCTGAAAAAAATTGCTTCTTAGGTTTCGCAAAACCCACACAGAGTTTGGGTATTACTACATACTAGTTGAGGTCTTGAAATCTTAATACACCAAAACAGATTTGAAACCTGGTGTAGGAAAATAGCAGTTCAGCTGAATATTTTTAGAATAGAAGAGCTGCTTATCATAGTACTGATGAATTTATTTAACAAGAATAGCAGAGTCTCCATGGATTATCACCCATGGAACCGTAGGAGTGAGATGTCTCTTGGTGTGCTATAAGATTAGTAATCCATTCATAATTATATGTCATGACCTTTATTTATTTAGTGTGGGAAACTTTTTTGTTGATGTCATAGATCTTTAGTTAGGTGATTCCTATTGGTCATTTTATGTCAGGATCAATAGCCAGATATAATTAAGGTGCTGCACCCACTTTATTGTTGGCATGTAGATATCTTGTTATGAAGTACTATCACTTCTTCCTTTTCCTCTTCTCTCTAGGAAAAACCACTATCCATTTATTCAAACATTTATTGAGCATCTCCTATATGCGAGGCATTGTGTAATTGCTTACTTGCCTCTCAATTATGAGGTAATGTCTATAAAATGTTGATCTGTTAGTGAATGATACTGTAAATGTTAATATGTGCGAAAAGCCCACTTTGGGAACTTCACAGTGTTCTGCCAGTTTTATGGACTTCATAGAAAGAAATGGTGGAGCAAATTCAAATTATGGTGTACCAGTGTGTTTCTGCTCTTGAAAGGTCCATGGTGAAATATGTGATGTTAGCTTTCTTAAAACCTATAATATGACCTTGTATTAGAGCCAACTTGTGATTGCCTCATTCCAGGTGTCAGGACTAAAGGTTGAAAAGAACTGGGGAAGATCAAAAGACCAAAAGAAAAAGTTGGGTGATGAAGAGATGAGATGACTGTTCTCTTTCAAACATACACTGAGAAATTACTCAACTGTGTCTTATCTCTCTCAATCTCTAGGGGGAAAATTCTTTGGAAATAGATCCCTAGTCACTGTAGATCTGACACACTGAACCAGCTTGGCAGAGTTTAACCCTAAAACATTTTATCATTGTCATCAAACATATATCTTAAGAGTAGCTAACCATTTGTATGCATACCTCCTCAGACCCTAGTACCAGTTAAAAAGCAAAGCCGTGCAGGTCCTCCTTTTACTATAGGTGGTAGATGAGGACACTGCTGACAGAAGTTCAGCAGTTGACTCAGAATATCAAGTAAGCACCCCAGAAGGGAGCAGTGGTCTAAAACTTATCTGAAGTGGAACATAAAATGTGTGAACCATTGAGGCTTTGTTATTTTTAATTAGGTTAAATAAGACTTGGAGTTGGGAAATTTTGGTTAAATTTTGTGTTTAGATATTGGGTTCTTAGAGTCCTACCATAAAATATAATTTACTTTTTTCTGTAATTAATCTCTAAAATGTTTTCCTTAAAGAAAAATGTATCTCAGTTATACCTCAATTAAAAAAAAAAGAAACAAACAAAAAGTAAGGAAAACAAAGTTTTGAGTCAGTAGAGTTATGGAAGCAGAATGCAAGTTGGGGATTTATTGTTCTTTTTTTTAGCTAGAGAGATAAACCATTTTGACAGGTAGAGTAGTGTTGTGGGTACCAGGTTGGGTGCTGGAGTTAGAGTTCCAGTCCCCATTTGTTAGTAGTGTCCCCTTGGGCAAATTATTTAACATATCTGTGCCTCAACTTCTTCATCTGTAAAATGGGGATAATAATAGTACTGACAGGAGTGTTATGAGGGTTAAATTAGTTAATGTACTTTAAGATGTTTAGTGTCTGGTAAATGTTAGTTATTATTGTTACTATCTTAAGTTGTATTGTTCAGCTCTTCATTTTTCCTGTCTTTTTTCCCCTCCTTCCTTTAATCCATTTCAGTGCTTACTCTGCTGACTTTTGGCACATCTGACACAAACTTTGATAGTGAAGAGGCTCAACTGTTTATCTAAAATGAAAATTTTAATTGTTCCTAAATTTTATTTTCTCATATTGTTCTCTTTTACATTTAACCACAGATAATTATTTTGACTACGTTTTATCTGCTCCTTGTTTGTCTTTTCTATTATAAATGGGGTTTTGAATATGCAATAGCGGGAAGTTCCCTAATCAGTTCAGTTTAGGGAGATGTGTGTGTGCATGACCTTGCTGAAATTGTGCTTTCTTTCCCCTTACTCAGGATGTTTGATGTAGGTGGCCAAAGATCAGAACGAAAAAAGTGGATTCACTGTTTTGAGGGAGTGACAGCAATTATCTTCTGTGTGGCCCTCAGTGATTATGACCTCGTTCTGGCTGAGGATGAGGAGATGGTATGTTGGAGCTTCTGGTAAATAAAAGGCCTGTCTAATGCAGGCAGGAAACGGAAAATAGCTCTTAGGAAGACTTTGTTCATCCATTTACTCATTGAACCAAAACTTAAAATCCTTAATTTTTCTCCTTGTCAGTGTGATTAGTTTTTCAAAATATTGATCCATGCCCTCTTAAACTTATGAGATATGACAGCACATTGAGTATGTGGGCAGGATTAAGTCCTCTTGTTAGCCAGTCCTTATTCCCACCTCTCAACCTCTAAGAATTATAAAAATGAGGACTGACTCAGCTTTTGTGTTATCAGTGTCTGACTTCTTTTCATGATTGCCCATCAGCACTTTTAAAACTTCTTGGTCTGGGACTTCCCTGGTGGTCCAGTGGTTAGGACTCTGTGCTTCCACTGCACGGGGCATAGGTTCGATCCCTGGTCGGGGAACCAAGATCCTGCATGCCTTGTAGCACGCCCAAAAAACCCCACAAAAACCTTTTTGGTCTGTTGTTCATTAACAGTTAATCTACTTTTACTTTTTTGCTACTGACCTATCATCCTTTGTTTCTTTTTTAGAACCGAATGCATGAAAGCATGAAACTGTTTGACAGCATTTGTAACAACAAATGGTTTACAGACACTTCGATCATTCTGTTCCTCAACAAGAAAGATCTTTTTGAGGAAAAAATAAAGAGGAGTCCATTAACTATCTGTTATCCAGAATACACAGGTAAGGGATCATGAAAGATTTTGCTGGAGGTATACATCTTGAATCAAAACTTTAGTGACCTTCCTGCAGCTTTCTTTTGTTTTGAACATTGTGTGTATCTCCTTATGGAGAGTGTTCACTGGTAGTGGTGTCAACATTAAGCATGTGATTAAGACCCCTTAAGTCTAAAGTGTTATTCCAGACATAATCGAGTTTACTCTGTTTATTTTATATTTCTGTCCTCCTCATTTTTTTTACATCTTTATTAGAGTATAAATGCTTTACAATGGTGTGTTAGTTTCTGCTTTATAACAAAGTGAATCAGTTATATATATACATATGTTCCCATATCTCTTCCCTCTTGCGTCTCCCTCCCTCCCACCCTCCCTATCCCACCCCTCTAGGCGGTCACAAAGCACCGAGCTGACCTCCCTGTGCTATGCGGCTGCTTCCCACTAGCTATCCACCTTATATTTGGTAGTGTATATATGTCCATGCCTCTCTCTCGCTTTGTCACAGCTTACCCTTCCCCCTCCCCATATCCTCAAGTCCGTTCTCTAGTAGGTCTGTGTCTTTATTCCTGTCTTACCCCTAGGATCTTCATGGTGTTAGCATACGGTATTTGTCCTTCTCTTTCTGACTTACTTCACTCTGTATGACAGACTCTAGATCTATCCACCTCATTACAAATAGCTCAATTTCGTTTCTTTTTATGGCTGAGTAATATTCCATTGTATATATGTGCCACATCTTCTTTATCCATTCATCCGACGACGGGCACTTAGGTTGTTTCCATCTCCGGGCTATTGTAAATAGAGCTGCAATGAACATTTTGGTACATGACTTTTGAATTATGGTTTTCTCAGGGTATATGCCCAGTAGTGGGATTGCTGGGTCATATGGTAGTTCTATTTGTAGTTTTTTAAGGAACCTCCATACTGTTCTCCATAGTGGCTGTATCAGGTTACATTCCCACCAGCAGTGCAAGAGTGTTGTTCCCTTTTCTCCACAGCCTCTCCAGCATTTATTGTTTCTAGATTTTTTGATGATGGCCATTCTGACTGGTGTGAGATGATATCTCATTGTAGTTTTGATTTGCATTTCTCTAATGATTAATGATGTTGAGCATTCTTTCATGTGTTTGTTGGCAGTCTGTATATCTTCTTTGGAGAAATGTCTGTTTAGGTCTTCTGCCCATTTTTGGACTGGGTTGTTTGTTTTTTTGTTATTGAGCTGCATGAGCTGCTTGTAAATTTTGGAGATTAATCCTTGTCTTCCTCATTTTCTGAGGCAAATAAAGAATGATAAAAATAAAAATTTTGTATAAATATATTCACAAAATACAAGAATAAGGTGCAGTTACTACTCTCAAGAAACTGACATTAGTTGTAGAAAGAGAGAGACACACTTGAAGAATTTCATTTTAGTGTAAAATGTTCATTAATAGAAGAGCAGAAGAAGGGGTTACCTCAATGGGATCAGTGTAGTCTTTTTCTAGAGGAAATGACACTTGGAGTAAGATAGTAAGAGGATGAACTGTAAATCATCAGGCAGACGGGGGAATAAAAACACTTTAGGAAGAGGAAACAGCATATATGAAAATATGGAGTTAAAAATGACATGATTTGTTCTGAAACCTAGGAGGAATTTGGTATTGATGGAGCTTAAAGTGGTGGGGAAGAGTGGTTGGAGAAGTGGGCAAGGATGCTTGTGGAGGGCATTGTATCCCATGCTGAGACAGTGGGGAGCTATTGAAGGATATTCATTGGGGTACATGATGTAATAGAAACTGATTTAGAAAGATTATGTGATAGATGTCAATAAAGATAGATAGTAGGGGAGTTGAATTAGTGAGGACTCTCTTAGGATGCAAATAGAAACTTTTGATGAAGATACAGGGATATATCATAGAAGTCAAGGACAAGAATGCAGGCAGTTCTCAAGAATGTAGTTAGAATTAGGAACCCTGCAAGCACTCTCAAGAACCCTGGGAGCACTTCTTTCCCCATCTCTGTTCTCTCTTCTCTGTGTCTCTCTATTCTTCTCTCTTTCCTTACCAACTTTCTCTGCTGCTCAGTTTATGGATAAAAGATGGCCCTGCCACAGTTTCTATATCTCCTCCATTTAAAAGACCAGGCTAGACTGGGATTGTTTGGCCCAAGGTTCAAATTCCTAAAAGAGAGAGATTCTGGCCAGGGTTAGGTCAGGCAGAAACCCTTAGTTCAATCAGATGAGGTTAGGGACACAAACATGAGTGCCAGAGCTGTATCACTGTGACCTTTAGATCAGAATTGAGTATTTCTAGGAAAGGGGACCTCTTGTTAGCTGAGCAGACACTGTAAATGCTTTATATAGTAAGGTGAAAGGGTGTAGCTAGGGTAAGGAAGTGGGACGAGTCAGAGGTACTCTCAGAGTTCTGTATTAATTGGGTGCCAGTACTGTGATCTGAATTCATATTTAGGAATGTTGGTTTTGAAGTATCTATGGAACATCCTGATGGAGATATCTAACAGATAGTTATATATGTGGCCTTGGAGCTTGGGGAGAGGTTGCAGGTTAGTAACATATTGATTTGGGATCATGTGTAAATACAACATGGAAATGGATGAGATGACCTAGAGTGATGATATAGAATGAGGAGAGAAAAGAATAGAATGAGAGCGAATACCAGCCTCTATTGGCAGGAGAAAAAGAAAGGTTTGTATAGGATACAAAGAGAAGAATCTGGAAAGCCAAAGTATCAAGAACTAAGAGGAGAGTTTAAATAGTGAGGAGTGGTCAACAATGTCATATGCAGGTAAGTAAATACATTTTGAAAAAATGGCCTCTGGAATTAGCAGTCAGGACATCATTGCCTGTTATGGAGAGCATTATCAGTGGAATGATGAGAGCAGAGCCAGGACCAGTGAGTTACTGAGTGGGAAGTGAAGAAATGAAGACAAGTGTAGCCTCCTCTTGAGCAGCTTAGATTACAGGGGAAGGAGAGATCTTTACATGTTTATGGGCTTAGAGGTAAGATGAGGTTAGGGACACAAACATGAGTGCCAGAGCTGTATCACTGTGACCTTTAGATCAGAATTGAGTATTTCTAGGAAAGGGGACCTCTTGTTAGCTGAGCAGACACTGTAAATGCTTTATATAGTAAGGTGAAAGGGTGTAGCTAGGGTAAGGAAGTGGGACGAGTCAAAGGTACTCTCAGAGTTCTGTATTAATTGGGTGCCAGTACTGTGATCTGAATTCATACAGCGAATGAGAAGTTCTCCTACAGCGAAAGAGAAGTTACAAAAAGTGGATGTAGGGCTTCCCTGGTGGCGCAGTGGTTGAGAGTCCGCCTGCCGATGCAGGGGACATGGGTTCGTGCCCCGGTCCGGGAAGATCCCACATGCCGCGGAGCGGCTGGGCCCATGAGCCATGGCCGCTGAGCCTGCGCATCCGGAGCCTGTGCTTCACAACGGGAGGGGCCACAACAGTGAGAGGCCCGTGTACCACAAAAAAAAACAAAAAAAAAGTGGATGTAATTGATGGAGCAAGATTTATAAGCAGGTGGGAAAAGAAGGAATCAAAAGTCTAGGTAGGGGCTTCCCTGGCGGCGCAGTGGTTGAGAGTCCGCCTGCCGATGCAGGGGACACGGGTTTGTGCCCCGGTCCGGGAGGATCCCACATGCCGCGGAGCGGCTGGGCCTGTGAGCCGTGGCCGCTGAGCCTGCGCGTCCGGAGCCTGTGCTCCGCAACGGGAGAGGCCACAACAGTGAGAGGCCGGCGTACCGCAAAAAAAAAAAAAGTCTAGGTAGGATGAATGGATAAACAAATTGGTATACCTGTACAATGGAGTATTATTTAGCTATAAAAAGGAACAAAGTACTGATAATGCCACAACTTTGATGAACCCTATAAACTTTATACTAAATGGAAGAAGTCAAACAGAATAGGTTACGTTTGTGTGATTCCTTTTATATGATATATCCCAAATAGGCAAATCCACAGAGACAGAAAGCAGATTGGTTGTTGGTTATTAGGAAATTGGCACAAGGGGAATGAGGAATGATTCCTTAATGGGAATGGGGTGTTTTTCTGGGGTGGTGGAAAAGTTTGAAACTAGAGAGAGGTGGTGATTGTATAGCATGTGACTGCACTAAATGCCACTGTATTGTAAACTTATTGCATGTTATGTGAATTTCACATCAACTTAAAAAGAAAAAGTATAGATAGAGCAGTTGAATTTTGAATCAAAAGGAAGACATCTCTAAGACCAAAGATACAAATAAATGCAGATATAGATAACTTTTTAAGTGAGGTGGTGGGCTAAAAAGTTGAGATGTAGTTTAAAGCCCCGTGGCCTCTGTTTTCTTAGGGAATTTGGAAATGTCGTCATCTGTTCAGAGGGAGGAGGGAGGTGAGAGTTGGGTAAGTTGATGGAAAGTATCCAAGTTTTAGAATGGGAGAACAATCTTACTTAAGACAAGTAAAGGATTGACATTAATGTTTCAGCTGGGAATCTTCACACATAGCAAAGAGTCCTCAATATCATGTCCGTTTTTGGGTGGCGGGGGGCAGGGTGAACTTCCCAGCCTATCTTCCATTGACTTCATTCTTAAGGATTCTCATAGTCTTTATTTCCCAAGTATCAATATCTGTTCCTACCAGACAAAAATCTGGTGTTACATGTTTCAAACATCTGTCTCCTTTAATTTACAGACGTTCTGCACATCTCAGTAAATCTATTTCAAGCACCTACCAAGATGTCTTCCTTCTGTTCTTTAAACAGTCTGTTTAAATAATAGTCATTTCTTTCTTAAGCTTTTCTTTGTTATTTAGTCATCTTTATATACTTATTTGTTGATATATTTTTGTCATGCTTAACGTCACTGAAAATAGCCCCTAGCTCACAGGAATAACTGTGTATGCTGTCTTTGTTGAGTTTCCCTGGCTCTGCAGACAGTTTCTAAGGCTGTTCTAAAGAGTCACAAGTAGACAAGATTGTGTAGGAAGCAGGCAATTAAGGGTGTTAATTACCAATGTTGTTGAAATAGGGTTTAACTTTCGGGTCCCCCTCTTTGAAGAAATAACAGATTTATTAGGGTATAATTCACATACCATAAAATTCACCATTTAAACGTATGCAGTTCAGGCCCCTTTCCCTTTTGCATCTACTGGTTTACCTTTGGTTATTTAAACTATTTCCCTAAGGCTCTGAGGCTAAGCCCCGTTAAAATTGGAATGATTTTGAAAAGAAGCATGACTTCCCCTTTTGAATTGTTTATTTCAGCACCACTCCAAGGAGCACAAGCTCTCTGACCTTTTAAACAGTTATGTTCTTCTAGAAATGCATCTTCCTACTTCCCTAGTTTCCTTTTATGCTTTCTAGATTTTTTAGCTAAAAAGTCTAAATAAAAGGGAAAGAAACTTAAAGTTTTGTTTTCCTGGATCTTTGTGATAATTTTATTTTACTTATAATGAGATTCTGCACTCAAGAAACATGTAATGATTATAGAAAAATAGAAATCTGTTTATTTCAACTGTGTTATATTTCCTCTCTCCATAAGTAAATTGTGATGGCCTGACTTAGTTGAGTCCAAGCAGCTGTTTTAATTTGAACTGAGAATATTGGGTGTCTGCCTCAGGTTCCAATACATATGAAGAAGCAGCTGCTTACATTCAGTGCCAGTTTGAAGATCTGAACAGAAGAAAAGATACCAAGGAGATCTACACCCACTTCACCTGTGCCACAGACACCAAGAATGTGCAGTTTGTTTTTGATGCTGTTACAGATGTCATCATTAAAAACAACTTAAAGGAATGTGGACTTTATTGAAGAGTGTGGATGTTAAATAAAAGGTAAAACTTTGAACAGTTTAATTATAGTGCTGTACTGATGTCTCTTGACTTCGTAAACTTTTTCTAATTACAAATGTTCTTCTTTCCTAGTTATTACAGTGTGGAGTGTTGAGACCAGACTTCTTTTGCTGTCTCATTGGGCAGCTGCAAGCATGAACGGGACCAGGGAATGGCAGCGGCATGCAGAATCTTAGTACTCTTTAGCACAATCTTCTGTATTAGGGAACTCTTAATTGACATGAGATGCTAAAGTCAGACATTGGAATTGGAACAACTGTAAAGTATGATTTGATCATGAAGACATCACTTGGATTTCACAATCTCAAATGTTTAGGGCAGATGTCAAGTTGAGGTGCTGCATTCCAGAACTTCAATATGTAGCTTACTCTTTTTTTTTTCCTTCTTGACAAACCACCAGTAGTTCATTTTTTAAGTTGTTTTTTGTTGTTTATTTTTTTTTTAATCAAGGGAAGAATAACTTCACTAAATTTATTTCTTTGTGAAAGAATCTTTATTAAAACACAAACAGTCTTAACTATGCACATGATGTGACCAGATCATCTTGAAAATTTTCCTCTTAGTAGGAACTCTTTGTTTTTAACTCTTGGTATGGTCAGAATATAATATTTCCATAATTACTTAATTCTTTACAATTATTGGGGCTCTAATTATAGCTTTTTTGGATGAAATTTATGTTACTATCCTGTTCAAAGTACCATTATGGTTTCTAAATGGTAATTACATTGAAGAATTCTGTAGTAAGATTCCAGCTCTTTTTTTAAGCTTATGGTTGAAGGTTAACCTGGTTTATGCTGATTACCAAATTACTAGATAAATGCTGATGTAGTATGATGAAGTCAGCTTCTTGGATACAGACGCATCCAGGGCAGCTGCCAGTTAGAAATGCAAATTGCTAAATTCCAAACAGAACCAGTGACTTTGCTGCTACAAACCTGCTAAATTGACCACTTCAATTCTTGCTTGTCCGTCTCAGTCATGGGGAGTTCTGTAAAAGATGCCCCTTGTTTTCCATCTTCCATTGGCTTTTTCTGTTGGGAAACATCTAAAGTGTATTAACAGTGCATGCCTTTACTTTGTAAACGTGGTGCCAAATCCCTGTTTGCCATTGTTTTTATTGTAGCAATGTTCATTGTAGTAATCCTTAGTCAGTACCTTCTTTTGCTGAAACTATTGATTTAGGGACTTTTTTCCACTTTGTTGTGTGTACAGATTTTAATCTGTTATAGTTGGCAGCAGTATTAAAATGGTGAGTAAAGAGTCCAGGTTTGTTCCTGTTTGTAACTAGTCCTTTCAGGACGTATTTTCTTCTGTTGTTTTTTGCCCCTGCTGTGTGCTTAGGCCTTTGTCTGAGAATGGGTTTAGGTAGAAGGGTTCCCTGAAGGTGTTAGTCTTTTGGTGTAATAGTATTGTTGAATCTTGGCCTGACTGAGCGTGTTATGTCATATCTGTGTTAGTAATATGCAGTCAAAACTCATTTTCCAGATTTACATTTTGGTTGTGTGGAGAGCTCTATTCACCTCAGCCTGCAGGTCATTTTGTACAATGTACAGCAAATGTCATTAAATATTGAATGGTCCATTAGGGGAAGGCAAATGAAGAGAATGCATTTTGAGCCTTCCAAATCAGTAGTTTGAGTAGTGCCTTTTGGGGTCCGATCTTTTTGGATTGGATTCTATTTCATCTTTTGATGTGACCTTTCACTAGTTTTAAAAAAAAAATGGTTGGTGGTCATCAAAGCCGGTTCAGAAAGCAAGCCACAGCACTTCAGTGCCTTTATTGGTAGTTTTTTTTTTTTCTTTCGTGGGAAAAATACAACTATACAGATGGTATAACCGTATTATCTAACAGTTTTTTTTTTTTTAGGATTGGCAAAACTGGATCTAAAAGAAAGAAAATTATCAGCTTCAATTGGTGATTGACTTATGCCTACAATGTAAATAGGGATAGTTCTTGTTCATTTTGAATATATCTTTTCCTTATTGTATTCTGTGATATAGGATCATCTGGAAATGAGAACTGGTAGAATGTTGGTTTAACTGTAGTCTTTCTATAGTCTGGGCTAATTGGAAGGCGTTGATAACAAAATAAGGGATAATCCAAAAAAATTAATACTTTGAAATGCATTTTGTATTTTGATTTGAATACGTCTGTCTGATATGTTAATTTTTTAGCCCTTCTGTCAATGAAAAACAGTAGTTCTCCACAATTTTGCCTCTACACCATTTACATTTGTCCTGTGTTTACATGAGGATCACCTCCTACCCCCCCCATGCCAAATAATTTATCAAAATGCACATTCCTTAAGGACACATGGACACAGTTTCAGTCAGTGGTTTTCAAATATGCCTTACGTCAAAATCACCTGGATCCATCTCAGAGATTGACTCTTGGCTGGTGGGCTGGCATTCTGTAATTTCAAAAAGGTGATTCTGATCATCAGCCTTAAAAATCACTATTGTATCAATATTTTGAATTAAAAGGTCTTTTCTTACAGCAGAGCCAGAATGTGGGAATGAAACCTCATATCTATTAGCCTGGAGAAAAAGGATTGATGTTTGTAATCAAAGAAGTGAAAAATTGCCTGTGTCTTTTTGGTGGAGAATACTGGAGATTTGTGATGGATCATGTTTCAGAATTTAGGTGCCCAGTCTTTGGACCACGTAAGAAATCAGCACATCTAAGAAAATTAAATTTTAACAAATTAAGAACAGTAAACAGACACTAGCAGGAAGCATTGTAACAGTACCTTTATTTTGTTGACAGTCACATCTTCCCCACCTGATTAAAACCCTGGGCTGAAGAATTGCCATCCATTAGGCTCTATGTAGAGAGGAAGTATTCTGCTCCTTAATGGCCAGTCTTCCCTAACCTTATAATTTCAGCCTTGCAACAGATTTCACCTCCTGGCATGAAAATTCCAAGAATTTTTACAGTTATTCATAAGTGGATCTTGAAATGTCTTTTTCACCGTGGACAGTTTGAATTCTAAACCTCTAGTTCAATGTATCATACTGATGGGTTGTTATTTTTCACAAGGTGCTGCATTCTAAGAATAGATGGACCAAATTTTTAAAAGCTGTTTTCTTCTGTTGTTTATTTTTTATTCTCTTATCTATTATATTTGTGTTTTATTATATGCACATTATGGAGTATTTAGGAATAACTGCTGGTTCTTCTAATTTATTTGCCCACCTGTTATTCTTATATCCTGGCCACTGTTCTCTGATTTGTAGCTGTGGCTTTCTTTGGGCATTGCTTGCCTGACCTGACTAGTTACTTTTCATATTTATCCATTTGCTTAGCTTAGTTCTGGAGTTTCCTGTTGCAGAGCTCCTTGCTGTATTGGCAGTTACATATAAGGGAAAGTTAGTCTCTTATCCAGTTAAAAACCTGTCTTTGATTTTTTTCCCCTTCTAGATGTTCAAAAAACAATAGCCCTCTACTCACTGATATTACCTGTGAAATCTTTCATATGTGACACTGACTTTAAGAACAAAATTATCTCAGTTTCCAAGTACTGCCAGGTAATTTTTGTGCTCCAGTTTAGACTTCAAAGTACAAATCAGAGATCTGACCTGGACCAGCCACAGCTCTCTGTATAACTTTATGGCCACCAAACACAAGATAAAACCAGGCTGCTTAGAGGCCTGGAACTGAAAGTTGCTCTTACTATGAACGATCAGAAAGTAAAAGTTAAGTGAGGCGTACTGGAGAACTAATTTCCAGGATGGTCAAGATCCTTGTTCCTTTACCTTTGTTTAGGTTTTAAATCCCCATTCCCACCCCCAGTTTTCTCATAACCTTTTATGAGTTACTTCTGCTGAGGACAGCATATTTCAGAACAAATCAGGGCAGGATGGTTATTTTCTGATACTATGTCAGGCCTACACCTGGCTTTACTCAAGTCTCTCAGGAGTAAGAGATAATATGGAATATTATGCAGCAGTAGATACCTGAGGTGCAAGATTAACATACAGATTCTCTGGCTAAACTCAATTAAAATGTCTGAGCCAGGTCCTGGTAATATGTATTTTTAAAATAAATTCCTCAGGTGGTTCTGATGCAGCTAACCTGGGCCAATTTTTGGGGACAACTGAATAGACCTTATATTAAAGAGCAACCCAAATAGTAGACAACCTCAAAATCACTAGTGAATGACTGAGTTATTTTTTATTTGCCATTAAGTATAAAGCACTGACATGACTTAAAGTGCCTTTCACCCAGAAAATTAGTGTGAGGACTGTTTGGTCAAAGAACATTCCTACATTCTAGATAGAGTATTTCTTTTTTATATAAAATTAAGGCAAAACAAGAAACTTGGGGTTTCCAAACTTTTATTTCACTCCATTTATTTATTCAGTGAAAATTGAAAGATATACCAAAGTAAAGATAAAATCCTATGACAAAGGTAACTATGTGTAATAACATGAATATTCATTTACAGTTGGTAGATAAAAGAGCAAAGCTAGCTATAGAATGAAAGTCTTCTTGAGAGGGTTTGGGAAGGGGTAGGTAAGGGGAATGATTGAGGAGTCAAATATAATATAAAATCTTTGTATGCCCAGTGGTATATGTTCTCCCTTCCTGAAATCTAGTGGGAATCAACATGGTAGTAGAAATAATCAAATATTAGTAAACATACTTCTGGGGTACACCATCTCAGTGTGTTAGCGTTCACTAAGCTGTGAGATCTTTGACAGCTGACATATTAAGTTCTGTACAACCTGGTTTATCCTGTCTTCTTACCCTCCACCCCCGCCCCCCAGCCATATTCCTTTGGGTTATCCAAACATTTTTACCGAGAGGCTTGTTTATATGTAAGAGAAAATCCCAGTCGACATAACAAATCATAAGAAATTACCTGTTTTTTCTTGCTTATGTAAGATGAAGGTCCTCAGCCTCTTACGAAGTTGGAGAGTTGCTTGATGTGCTGGGTTCTGGTCTTTTCCCTGCTTCCAGCTAGCTATGAAGTCTTTCAGTCTTATATCCCTCATCTAAAGACAGACTAAATTATTTCTTCTAGCTGTGATATTCTATGGTTCTGATCAAATAGAAATAACACATTTAAAAGTGTTTTCTAAATACTCTTTATGATACTCAAGATTGTACTCCACTGCCAAAAAGGTAACCTAAGACCATACCAACAGATGTATTCATTGTAGCTGGTTGTCTTTTCTCAGCATCACTTTTCCCATATTCATTTCGAAAACCTGAAGTGAAGTTCAACTACAAATTACCCCGTATTTTGCGAAGTAGGGTGAAAAGGTCTTTGTTTTGCATTTAAATCCAGTTCTTTATTTTCTATTCAAACTGGTGCTTACTTTTCCATGACCAAAGGAAAGAAAAGTTCCTGCAGTCTGCAGTATATCTGTTTGACCTCACAGAGATGTCTTCACGCGTTTACCTAGCAGGATCACCAGAGGCTCTGGCACACTTGCAGTCCCTGGCCCAACACTGAAGTCCTGCTGGAATCTGTGCTCCGGGGGCTGTGCCGGGTAGAGAGGGAAGTGGGAGGTAAGAGCTCTTCACCCTTCACCACCTTCTCCACCCAGCATGGCCGGCACACTTTGGTCTACGGCACATCTCCAAGTATAGAGTGGTTTTTGAACGCTGTTATTTTTCACCTTGGGGATGGGGCCACCCAGATTTGGACTATTTGGGGTACGTGATTTTTTTTATCAGAGTAAGAACTGTTACAAGTAAATGTGTCTTATGGTTATACTGAATTTTTAGACTGAAATTTTGTGCTGCTTTTATTTCTCCTTTAATTGACAAACATAAGAGCACATTTCCAATTATATTTTTTCCATTTTTTATTGTGTTAAAATATACATGACATAAAATTTGCCATTTTAATTATTTTTAAGTGTACAGTTCAGTGGTACTAAGTACATTCACATCATTATACATCACCACCATTCATCTCCAGAACTTTTCTCATCTTCCCAAACTGAAACCATACCTATTAAATAATAATTCCCCATTTCCATTCTACTTTCTGTCTTTATAAATTTGACTACTTTAGGTACTTCATATAAGTGGAATCATACTGTATTTGTCCTTTTGAGTCAATCATTTTTATAAGAAAAAAAAAGCAACTGTCATCAGATTTATATGAAATGGAACTTAATTTACATTTGGCTTACTTTCATCAATGTCTAATCATGCAATGCAAGGGAAGTGTGTTACAGTCTCTGCCCTCTAAGAACAGAAAATTATACCTTCAACAAACAAAGCTATTTATACTTTTACTGTTTTATGC